TAGCCACGCCCACCCGCTCACATGACGAGCTCCACAAAGGATCATCTCCGACAGAGGGGTTCAATTCACCTCCAAATTTTGGAGGGCATTTTTGGATTTACTTGGTACTGGCTAGGGGTTGAGCTCTTCCCATCATCCAGCTACTAATGGCAATTCTGAAATTTTGAACTCGGTCCTAGAACAATATTTAAGATGTTTCATTAATTTTCAACAGGATAACTAGATCGAGCTTTTGCCTTTTGCTGAAGTTGCATTTAATAATGCTGTACACTCTAGCACTGGTTTTATCCCTTTTAGAGTAGCGACAGACCAGGATTTCAGCCCCATGCCTGAACTACCCATAGAAGAACCCACCATCCCCTCACTTAAGAAGTGGATGGATAATTTGCAAAACACGTGGCCAGTGGTTAGATTAGCCTTAAAGGAAGCTAGAGAAGCTTTTAAAATTCAAGCTGACAAGAAAAGGATGGAACCAGTGGTGGGATTCTGCCGGTTCTAGGCGGTTCGGCCGAACCGTTTGTTAAATTGCTGGCTTGCCCCACCCCTTCGCAGCACTATTTATTGCCAATAAATAGTGGTGGGTGAGGGGCGGGCGAGCCAGCAATTTAACAAAGGGTTCGGAGTTTTTTTGTAATTTTATTGGCCCACAGAGCTTCAGCATAGGCTAATTAGCCCTTGATTAGATTGGCTCCCGACTCTCAGCTGATTTACTCTCAGCTGTTTTGTGGAGGGCTCTGCTGCTTGCTTGCAAAGAGTGCTGAACTGATTTTTTTTTCCTAGCTATGCTGAAAAACGAAACTGAAAGTAAAGCAGACTGTTGACTTTGCTGTTGCTGCAACCTTAGAAAATTAGGCAGGCAGATTTGTTTTCTTTTTCCTCACCAAAAAGGTAGGTGCAAACAATGGGAAATTTAGGGAAAAAGAGGAGAATTCAAGAATTTAAAACACAAAAGAAAGAAAGTTCTATTTAACTAGGGAATTGTAATAATTGAGATACTATTAATTGCATATTGTGTTGAAAGCAGAAATGGTTAAGTTGTGGTTTGGAGGAATATATGGGGGAAATTATTTGGTTTATTATTATTGGTAAATATAATTAATTGATTTGTAAGAAATTGGATTGCATGGAAATAATTGGAATATTCATGTTCATATTGATTAATATACAAAAAAGATAGTTGTATAACTAATTGATTTATATTAAAATGTTGAATTTATATTAAACAACTGTAATATTACATAATTAACCAATGTGAGGATGGATATAAAAATAGATGACAATGGGAAGGGGTATAATATAGAATAGAAGGGAAAAATTGAATTTGATTAAGATTAGAGATGAGGAAGAAGGGTAATATTGGTTTTTTAAAAAAATAGATAAGGAATAAATATGGCAAAAAGGAAATATAGAAATTGGAAATTTAATTGAAATGACTAAACACTGTTTAAATTTGTGAACCGGCCAAATACTCTGTTCAAAGAAAATAAATTGTATGTTTGTATGTATGTTTCTAATTATTGCTATTTATTCTTTTTTTTTTTTTTTAATTTATATGCCGCCCTTCTCCGGAGACTCAGGGCGGCTTACAATGTGCTCAGCAATATTTGTTCTCTTTTATTATTTAAAGCTTAACAATTCATTCTTTATCTTAATATCTTTATATTTGTTTGGGGTTGCCTTTCTTCCATTTCATCTTTTTTACTGTACAGCAATCTTTCGCCTCAAACCTACCACCTCTCTCTTTTCTTTCCTTCTTACTTTCTCCCCCCCCGCTTCTTCTCCTCCCTACTTCCTCTTCCTTTCTCCTTCTCCTCCTCTCTTCCTTCCTCTCTTACACTCCCTCCTACTCTAATTTCCCTTCCCTTCCTTCTTCTCTTCTCTTCCTTCCCTCTCTCTCCTTCCTTCTTCCATCTCTCTTCTCCTTCCTTCATCCCTCTCTATTGCTGTATCCTTTTGTGCATATGGATTACTCAGAGGGCTGAAAAAGTTATTTTTGATTGGTCCTCGCACTTTTGACCACTCCTCGAACTTACAACTGTCCTCACATTTTACGTTTTTCACCCTATCTTGTCACCATGGTGAAGAGAAGCAGTTGTGAAATGAGTGACACGTTTGTTAAGAATGCTACAATGGGCATAAATGATGACCAGTCATAAGGGTGAGGACCGGTCAAAAGTGCAAAGACCTGTCAGAAATCACTTTTTTCAGCCCTCTGGGTGGTCCTTTTACGCGTATGGACTACTCAGAGGGCTGAAAAAGTTATTTTTGACTGGTCCTTGCGCTTTTGACCAGTCCTTGAACTTACGACTGTCCTCACATTTTACGTTTTACGCCCTATCTTGTCACTGTGGTGAAGAGAAGTAGTGGTAAAATGACTGACACGGTTGTTAAGAATGCCGCAATGGGCATAAATGTGAGGATGGTCATAAGTGCGAGGACCAGTCAGAAATGACTTTTTTCAGCCCTTTGAGTAGTCCCTATGCACATAACCATGCCCACCCGGTCACATGACCAGCTAGCCATGACCACCCAGTCACATGACCACCAAGCCACACCCCCAACTAAGCCATGCCCACAGAACCGGTTGTTAAAAAAATTGAATCCCGCCACTGGATGGAACCCAAACCTTTTCATATTGGAGACAGAGTATACTTATCTACAAAATTCCTGAAATCATTACAACCATCAAAGAAACTAGGGCCAAAGTTCATTGGACCTTTCCCCATCACTAGAGTCATCAATCCAGTAGCAGTTGAACTACTCCTTCCAAAGACACTCAGGCAAGTCCACCCAGTATTCCCTATCTGTTTACTCAAGTGAGAAGTAATCACATCCCTCAGACCACCTGCATCTACACTACCTGTGCCCATCATGATTGAAGGTGAACAACACTTTGAAATCAAGGAAATCCTTGACTCTAGGATCCACAGAGGGAAAATCCAATACTTAGTTGCTTGGAAACATTTACCATCAGCATACAATGAATGAGTCGCTAAACACCATGTTAGGGCTCCAATCTTACTGAGAAAATTTCACTCCAATACCCTAACAAACAAGAATAATGAAATCTTGTATATATTTGGTTTTTTTACAGGTGGACCCTTTCGTTTTCTAAGGAGGGTAGCATGTCAGATCCCTAAAAGTGATACTGCCATTCAATTGGGAGAAGGGGGAGACCTAGATTCAATTTACTAGCATTGCCTGTGTCAACAGATATTTGACAACCTATATCCTGGCGCCAAAGAGCCTGAGATCCTCTTTATGTGGAGGAATGTTTATGATAGCCATGTGGGTTGTTTCACTTTAAAGGATAACAGTGTGAATGCATGGTTGTTCGGGTTCTCAGGGAAACTGGGAAAGAAAGCATCTTTACACTTGTGTATTAGTTAAAATCTGCATTCTGGTTTAAAGGGAGGGGTCTCTACTGCTTTAATCCTACTTGTCTTGCCTAAGGGTATTCAACTCTTGCTTTAACTGGGTGGCTGTCACTTCTGCTTAATAAAAGGATCCTTTTGAACAACTACGTTTCAAGAGTTCTCACTTTCTTAAGTTGGAAGGAGAGGCGATCCTTACAGGCAGCCCCAAGGAAAGGGAAGTGCAGCCATCCAGCTTCAACCTAGCAAGCTACTTTTTGGCATAGAGTTTGTCAGTGAGTGTCTCTTAAAAAAATAACAGAATTTTGCATTAAAATAAGCACAGATTGACAAAAAATAGGAAGGAAAGAAAGAAAGAAGAAAGAAGGAGGGAGGGAGGGAGGGAGGGAGAATGAATTCAAAAAAGTGCAATATTGGTTATAAGGTCTGGGTTTTTTTTAGTGCTGTCATAACTGTGAACAGTTGTTACATAAATGGTCGTAAATTGAGGATTGCCTGTGTGAAAGGATCTCCTTTCTCCTCAGTCTCTCAGACCTGGAGCAGAAGCTCAATCAGAACTAATTCTTAAACCAGTGAGTTAGAATCAAGGCTGATTTTTTTTTTTTTGTTAAGATAGTGTGCAGTTCGGAGAACCCCCAAATCCCACTCCTGACTGGCCATGCCCACCCCACCCTTCCCCTCCCAGGAGTCCACACACGGCCTGTTTTGCAAGCAGGTAAGTGCAGGGTGCACGCGGAGGCTCGGGGAGAGCGAAAAACAGGCCTACCGGAAGTTCGAGATGGCTTCCAGAGCCTGGGGAGGCCATTTTCACCCTCCCGGAGGCTCAAAGAAAGCCTCCAGAGCCCAGGGAGGGCAAAAAGCCCCCCCCCCCAGCAACCGGGCAGAGAACCTCTTGCTAAAATTTTTGAAGCCCATCCCTGGTTAGAATTATAGAATATAGGGCTGCAAGGGACCTTGGAGGCCTTCTAGTCCACCCTCTTCTAGTCCACCCTATGACCCAAGCTCACAGAATTATAGAGCTGGAAGTGATCTTGGAGGTTTTCTCGTCCAACAAATCAGAACAGAGCTGGAAGGGATCTTGGGAGGGGGTCTTCTAGTTCAATCCCTTCCTCAAGCAGGAGATCCTATACCATTTCAGACAAGTGACTGTCCAGTCTTTTCTTGAAAGCCTCCAGTGATGGAGCCCCCACAACTTCTGGAGGGAAGCTGTTCCATTGGTTAATTGTTCTTACTGTCAGGAAATTTCTCCTTAGTTCCAGGTTGCTTCTCTCTTGATGAGTTTCCATCCATTGCTTCTTATTCAGCCTTCAGGTGCTTTGGAGAATAGCTTGACTCCCTCTCTTCTTTGGGGAAGCCCCTCAAATATTGGAACACTGCTATCCTGTCACCCCTAGTCCTTCTTTTCTCTAGATTAGCCAAATCCAATTCCTGAAACCCTTCTTCATATGTTTTTTATTCCAGGCCTTTAATCATCTTAGTTGCTCTTTCCTGAACCTTTTCTGAAGTCTCAAGATCTTTTTCTAAAACGTGGGGACAAAAAGTGGATGCAGTATTCCAAGTGTGGTCTTACCAAGGCTTTATATAGCAGTACTAATGTTGTGGAATAAGGAATTAAAGAAACATCCCTTTAGGGCAGACAGAATCAGTTTATTTATTTATTGCAATAAAGGATCAAACCTGGTATCGCTACCAAAAAGGAGGTCTGAACAACCTATGATTTTCAGCTCAAAGCATTTATACAGTTTCAAACAAAGGATTCTGTGAAATCAGCATTTTCTTATTATCACAAGACATTTGTTACACAAAATGACATACCTTAATTACTATCTTTGCCAAACAGTTATAATTCTTCTTAGAAGTTACTGAAGCATAGATTCAAATTATCTCTTGTTGAAACAATAATATGGACATCTCCTCTCTCTGACCTTAAAAATGTAAATCACCAGACTGTCTTTATCTGTGACAACTGAGGGGCAACTGAGGGGCAACTGAGGGGCCTCTCCTCGCTGATTCTACATCAAAGAAGGAATGTGTCTGCCTTTTATTTCAACTGGATACATTTGCAAGCACAATTTCTCTTCTACAATACTATGAACAAAGAGGGTCCTTCAGTGATCATCTAGCTGGACCCGCTTTTACTTTATTTATTACTTTATTTACCACTTTATTTGTTACTTTACCACATTACCACATGTGATTTGGATTCTATGCCTCTGTTTATACCACCAAGGATTGTATTCGCTTTTTTGGATGCTGCCGCACATTGCGGGCTCATTGGTCTCCTAGTCCACTTCCCCCACTGCCCAAAATCATAGAATCATAAGTTTGGAAGGGATCTTGGAGGTCTTCTACTCCATCCCCCTATGCCCAAGCTCACACAATCATAGAATCATAGGGCTGGAAGGGAGCTTGGAGGTCTTCTACTCCATCCCCTTGCCCAAAGTCATAGAATCATAGGGCTTGAAGGGACCTTGGAGGTCATAGAATCATAGGGCTGGAAGGCAGCTTGGAGGTCTTCTGCTCCATCCCCCTATGCCCAAGCTCACACAATCATAGAATCATAGGGCTGGAGGGGAGCTTGGAGGTCTTCTGGAGGGAAACTGTTTCCACCATCAAGAAATTTCTCCTTAATTCCAGGTTGCTTCTCTCCTTGATTAGTTTCCCTCCATTGTTTCTTCTCCTGACTTCAGGGGCTTTGGAAGACAGGTTGACAACCCTCCCCCTTTTTTTTTCTTTGTAGCAGCCCCTCAAATACTGGAACATGGCTGTCATGTCCCCCCTGCTCTTTCTTTTCATTAGACTAGACACATCCAACTCCTGCAACCGTTCTCCTCTCTTATGCATCTGGCCACCCTTTTTAAGCAAAGGGAAAAATACTGCTGACACACACAAATGTGATCTACTGGATCGAACTCATTTATTGCCTTCCCGTCATTACACACACAAAGCATCTTCTCCAGAGTGAGGGAGAAGGAAGAGGAAGAGAGTGACCGAAAGAACAGAGAGTTTTAGGAGGAAGGGCAGGGAATTGGCACAGCCCCACAGTTGGATTCTCACAACGTACTTCATCCGGTGGATACAATATTCTAAACTGAGTTAACATTTTGTGGGTCTTCTGTGAGCACCACCCACCCGGTCTCTTCCTTCATGGTTCAACCTGCTGAGCAGCCCCAGAAGATGGGTGAATCCAGATGTTTCCCCCTGCCTGAATTGCTATGTGAACCTAACCATCGTACTTCGTGGACTGGAGATTGTGATTTTGTGCATTAAGTGAAAGTGAAAAAATTGTGTTGCATTTCCTTAGTCTTTCTACTGGTAGTCCTCGACTTACAACAGTTTGCTTGGTGACCGTTTAAAGTTGAGAAAAGTGACTTTCACACTTATGACCATTGGCAGCATCCTTATGGTCACAGGATCAAGATTCAGACACATGGCAACTAGCTCATATTTACGACGGACGCAAGTGTCACCGGGGTCAGGGGATTCCCCTTTTGTGACCTGTGTGACAAGTAAAGTTGATGGGGAAGCCCAGATTCACTTCACAATGGCATGATTCGTTTAACAACTGCAGTAATTCACTTAACAGTGGCAAGAAAGGTCGTAAAATGAGGCAAAAAAACCACAACAGGCTTACTTAGCAACGGGCTCAATTCTGTTCGTAAGTCAAGGACTAGCCCTAGTGGCCTCTCGGCATTAGCCAGCCCACTGGGGGCACCTGGCAGAGGAGGAAGAACACAGATGAGGGGGCCACGTGGCTGCACAAGGGGGGGATCGTTGGAGTCCGGCTGGGATGGACTTGAGCCAAGAGGGTGCCACAAAGGGGAGTCAACCACTCGTCCCGCCAGATCCACCAGTAGACAAATTTCTACGGACAGCACAGAAGTGGAACAGAGCTGGGGAGAGAAAGGGGAGAGGGTTAGGGTCAGTTATATCCCACCTTTACTCCTGTCCAGACGTGGCTGTTTGGGGCATTTTGCTTGTAATTTGAACTTAGCCCAAATTTCTCACTATTTTTCCAAGGTAGAGGAAATAGAAATAATTAGAGGAATTAACCCAATTATTGGCATTATTGGTAAACAACTATACCAGGATGTCAAACTCAAGGCCAGGAGGCCAGATTTGGCCCATGGGGTCCTTCGATCTGACCCGTGGGGCCACCCTGGAAACAGCAAAGGACCAGCCTACAGTGCCCCTGCCAGCACGGACCCCTCCGGCTCGGTTTTCACTGGCAGAGGGTTAGCAAAACAAACTAAAAACAAAGCAAAAGGAGAAATGTTTCTTCCCTTTTTGTATTTCAGCAAGAAGGGACAGGAAAGGAGAAAGGGAAAGAGGAAAGACAAAGAAAAGGAAAGGAAGAGGGGAAGGAAGGAAGAAGAAGGAAAGAGGGAAAGGAAGAAGAAAGGAGAAAGAAGAGGGAAGGAAAAAGAAGAAAAGGGAGGGAGGGAGGGAGGGGGGAGATTATAATGAGATTGAGAGAGGCTCTCAGGGAAGTCTTGCCTTACCACTTGGCCACCACAGGTGCCCCCTAACACGAATGACGTCAAGCTGACCATGTCAATCATGGCCATGCCCATCCCTGCCCCCCCCTCGAGGTCAAACACAACCCTGATGTGACCCTCAATGAAATTGAGTGTGATACCCCTGAAACTATACCAATAGGTCTGTTCCAGCTGTTGGTTGATGCCTTCTTTTTCCTGCTTATCCTTCACCAGAATTGCCATCACTTTATTTGGCTTTATGGAGAAATTTCCCAGTGTTTCTCATTCTGGGAGTTGAAGTTTGTGCATCTTAACTGGTTAACATCTTAACTCTGAAATGGTATACAGGTTCTCCTGCTTGGGCAGGGGCTGGACTAGAAGGCCTCCAAGGTCCCTTCGCTGGTCCCTTCCCTTCCTTCTATTCTATTCTACTGGGTGACCAGTGGAGTTCCCAAGGACACAATCTGTAGGCAACACAAACACACAGCAGAGGTAGTCCACGACTTACAACAATTCGTTTAGTGACCATTTGACATTGCAACGGGACCGTTTTTCACCCTTATGAGTATGGCAAGCAGCCTTATAGTCACATGATTGAAATTTGGACGCTTGTCAACTGACTCATATTTGTGACAGTCACAGTGTCCCGGGGTCATGGCATCTGTTTTTATGACCTTCTGACAAGCAAAATCAGTGGGGGAGCCAGAGTTGCTTAACAACCATGTTACGAACTTAACAACTGCAGTGATTCATTTAACAACAATGGCTAAGAAATGTCATAAAATGATGGCAAAACTCACTTAACAACTGTCTTGCTTAGCAATGGAATTTTGGGCTCCATTGCGGTTGTAAATTGAGTCCTGTACAATAGGACGAGGACTCAGGAATTCAGCATTGAGAGACCCTCAGCCGCACTGCAGATCTCAGGATCTGGAAGACAAGGGGGACCTCACTGCACCTCACAGAGCACCAATACCTGCTGAGAAGGTCAGGAGAACCGCGATCCATCCCAGAATGTACGACCAGGAGAAACGCCAATCAGCGTAACGCTTGCCATAGAAATTCACAGTCACGCCGGTGTAGACGGAGAGGCCCAGCAAGGCGAAGAGTCCTGGGAACAAAACGATGATTTTATTGAAGGGGAAATATCAAACTAGGCTTAGAACATAGAACAGGGGTGTCAAACTTGATTTCACTGAGGGCCACATCAAAATTGTGTTTGACCTTAGGGGGGCCAAGGGGGTGTGTGGCCAGCTCGACGTCACTCGTGTCAGGGGCACCTGTGGTGGACACAGCTTTGCCAGCAAAAACAGGCTGCCGAGTTCCGTTTACGGCTGGGATGGCCTCCTGCAACCCTCTGCCTGTGAAAACGGAGCTCGGGAGGGCCACACACAGCCCTCCCAAGCTCCATTTTTGCTGGCACTGCGGGCCGGTCCTTTGCCCCTGAGGGCCAGATGTAACCACCCCACGGGCCAGATCCAGCCCCGGGGCCTTGAGTTTGACACCCCTGACATAGAACATAGGATAGGAGGGTTTGAAGGGACCTTGGAGGTTTTCTAGCCCAACCCTTTAGTCAAGCAGGGAACCTTACATCATTCTGGACACATATCCAATCTCTTCTTAAACACCTCCAGTGATGGAGCAGCCACAACTTCTGGAGGAAACTTCTGTTCCATTGGTTGATTGCTCTCACTGTCACGAAATTTTTCCTTAGTTCTAGGTTGCTTCTCCCCTTGGTTAGTTTCCATCTGTTGCTTCTTGTCTTGCCTGTGTTCAAGTCTGTCAAAATCATTCTGGATCTTGAGCCTATCTTCTAAAATGTTGCCTATTCCTACCATCTTGGTATCCTCTGCAAGTTTGATGGGTTCCCCTTCTATCCTCTCATCTAAATTGTTTATGAAGATGTTGGAGAGTCCTAGGCCTGAGACAGAACCTTGTGGTACCCCACTGCTTACTTCCCTCCATGTAGATGTACCTCCATTAAAGACTACATGTTGAGTGTGATTTGTCAGCCAGTTACAAATCCATCTGGTGGTGATGCTGTCTATCCCACATTTTTCTAGCTTACCAAGAAGTAGTGGTCTACTTTGTCAAATGCCTTATTGAAGTCCAAGTATATTATGTCCACGGCATTTCGCTGATCCACTAAATTAGTCACTTTGTTGAAGAATGAAACAAGATTTGTTTGGCATGATCTGTTTTTGACAAACTCATGCTGGCTTCTAGTAATCAGATACAGATAGATACAGATTAACTGAGTTGGAAGGTATCTTGTAGGTCATCTAGTCCAATCCTCTGCCCAAGGTCTTCTCTGCACTCTTTCTAGAATCTCAACATCTTTTTCATAGTGTGGTGACCAAAACTGGATGCAGTACTCTAGGTGTGGTCTTACTAAGGCTTTAGAGAGTGGTAGTAGTATCTCCCTTGATCTTGATTGTATCCTTTGGTTAATGCAATCCCCTTGTTTATTTCTAGGTGCTCAAAGCTACACTGCTTATCTGGATAGAGTGGTGGTTTGTCAGGCTTGGCAGCTTGAAGATAGGTGGACTTCATCTCTCTGAATCCCCCAGCCAACCTCACTTACCTGCAATCAAGAGAGTGACCCCTGCAGAGCGACTGCGGGAGAACCGGTTGGTGCCAGAGTAGGTCATCAGTTCCAGGATGATCCCAGCAAAGGAGGAGAGGATGGAAATGAGCATGAAGGCTCTCGTGGCATCCCAGAAAGCTGTGTGGGGAGCAAGAGCCATTGGTTCTTTAACTTGAATGCTTAGCTTCAAGTTAAGAAAGTCAGTACAATTAGTCCTCATTTAACGACCAGTCACTTTAAACGACCATTCAAAGTCAGGACGGTCTTTCCCAGAATTACTTACAACCCAGAGTTCTGATAGTCACCATCTTTCTTGCTAAATGAATCGCTGCCGTTGTTAAGTGAATTAAGTGCAGTCATTGGGCAAATTTGCCCTCCCTCATTGACTGTACTTGTGGGAAGCCAGCTTGAAAGATTGCAAATGTCATACTAGGACATTGCAACTGTGTGGAGAAGACACTAGGCTAGACAGTGAGTTCTAGTCCCGCCTTAGGCATGAAAGCCGGCTGGGTGACTTTGGGCTCAGCTGAACCCACCTCACAGGGCTGTTGTTATTGGGAAAATAGGAGGAGGAAGGTGTGTTAGATATGTTCACCGCCTTGAGTAATTGCAAATGTAATAAAGGTGGGATATACAAATTAAATAAATTAATTAATACATGGTGAGTGACAGGTGCCCAAATTTTGACCACATGACCATGGAACTGTGCCATAGTTGTAGGTGTGAGGACTAGTCATAAGTCACTTTTTTCAGCACCGTTATAACTTTGAACAGTCACTAAATGAATGGTCGTAAGTTGAAGACTACCTGTATAGATGCTCAGAGGATGTCCAACCTTGGCAACTGAAGTGGTATAGGTTATCCTGGTTGGGGAGTGGACTGGACTAGATCTCCAAGGTCTGAACCTTCTCCAAAGTCCCTTCCAAATTCTATTCTATTCTATTCTATTCTATTCTATTCTATTCTATTCTATTCTATTCTATTCTATTCTATTCTATTCTCTATCCCATTCTATTCTCTATCCCATCCCATCCTATCCTATTCTAGTCTCCATTCCATTCTATTCCATTCCATTCTATTCAAGACCTGTGGACTTCAACTCCCAGAATTCCCTAGCCAGCCATGCTTTAAGACATGCTGGCTGGGGAATTCTGGGAGTTGAAGTCCACAGATCTTATAGTTGCCATGGTTGGACACCCCTGCACTAAACCAGCCAGAGGGACTCTTAGGACAATGCATTGAAAACAGCCCCCTCTTCCAGCCCCCAACTGTGGGGTCCTCACCGAGGGTAATGGTGTGCGGGTGACATTTGTTCCCCACACAGAAGCGCCAGAGCCCTTGATTGCTGAGACTGCCGGAGTATCGGTATTGCATCCAAAAGTCCGTCGCTGTGGCAACAATGAGGAGGACCAGCCCAGAAACGGCACACATCAGGGCCCCTCCCATCCAACCGAACATCGTGGACCCTGGTGGTGTTGAAGATGCTCCAGCCGGATCTCCTTTGGAAGAAGAAAGAGCTGGGGGAGAATTCTGCAAACTGGAAAAATCAGCCTAATCGAGGCATATATTTTTTTCTCCTCTTGACTTTTGATGGGGTGGGGGCAGGGGTGAAATCTACTTACCTTCCTTACCGGTTTGGAAGCGCATATGCTGCATGCATTACATGCACGTGCACATCTTCTGCATGCACAGAAGGTGTGCAGAAAGGTGTGCACCTTCTTTAAAACCAGGAAGTAATGACACCCGGGCGGCGATCGCTACCAGATCGCCAAACCACAGGGAAAAATCGCTACCATCGAGTGATCCGGTCCGATCCGGGAGCATTTCACCCCTGGTGAAATGGGGGCAACCATTGTTATTTGGTTTTGCTGCTCATAAAAAGCTAGGCAAGAGTGGTTCAGTTCTCCATGCATGGACTTCAATTCCCAGAATCCCCCCTTACGTCCTGGCAAATTAGCTCAGTGTTCCTCAACCTCAGTCTCTTTAAGATGGGTGGACTTCAACTCCCAGAATTCTCCCCTCATGGCTGGCCTCAACTCCCAGAATACCCTGTTTGAGCTGGACAGCTAGCTCCATTTTTCTTCACCTCTGAAACTTTAAGTGATGTATGGACTTCAATTCCCAGAATTCCCTCCTTTGATCTTGGCCAGCTAAGTCAGTGTTTCTCAACCTCAGCATTAAAATGGGTGGACTTCAACTCCCAGAATCCCCCGTTTGATCTGGACAGCTAGCTCAGTGTTTCTCAACCTCAGTAAGATATGTACACTTTTCAACTCCCAGAGTTCTCTTTAACTACCCAGAGTTGCGGAGAATGCTGGCTAATTCTGGGACTTGAAGTTTACCTGTTCTAAAGTTATAGAGGTAGATGGACCAATACTCCTTTAGCCCCTGCATAACCACTCCCTGCTTAACAATAATTTTAATCTACATATCACCCAATCCCCAATCCAAATGATTACTGGTCATGGGGGGAAATTCTTCCTTTGTCCTTTGCTAGAACAAATTTTTGCAAAAAGATCACCAGACCCTACATTAGTGATTCTCACACTGTTGCACGCTCATCATACTTACACAATAATAATCACATTTTTCCTCACCTTTGGGAGAACTGTATTTTCCGAATTAATGCAGTATCCCAGTCACAGATGCTCTGTCCTGGCAAGGAGAGAAATACCAAGCTACGTCATTGTCTCCAATGGTCCCATTCTTAAAAACAGAGTGCATGTAGTCCTCGACATACGACCACAATTGAGCCCAACATTTCTGTTGCTAAATGAAACATTGGTTAAGTGCATTTTCCCTTATTTTACGACCTTTCTTGCCACCGTTGTTAAGTGAATCACAGCAGTTGTTCATTTAGTAACACGGTCATTAACTTTGCTTGTCAGAAGGTTGCAAAAGGGGAATCACATGACCCTGCAACTGTCATAAGTACATGCCAGTTGCCAAACGTATGAATTTTGATCATGTGACTATGGAGATGCTGCAACGGTCATACCAGTAAGTGTGTAAAACGGTCAAAAGTCACTTTTTTCAGTGCCGTAACTTTGAAAGGTCACTAAACAAGCTGTTGTAAGTCAAGGACTACCTGTTATGTTGCTTTCAGACAAGATGTTACGGTTGGTTTGCTTTGATGAGATTTTTGAGCACAACCATAGTCATTTGGGGTAGTTGATGGTTGAATATGTGGTGCTGATTTAAACATGTCCTGCTGTGGCCATAAAAACCACCCAAATAAAATGTAAAATCTAATTAATGCAGAAGAATTTACTGGACGAGCTTTCAAATTTGAAAAGCACCATCGTCTAAAATAGAGTTTCTCAATTTTGGCGACTTGAAGATTGGTGGACTTCAACTCCCAGAATTCCCCAGCCAGCAAAGAATTCAGGGAGTTAAGTCCACACATCTTCAAGCCACCAAGGTTGGGAATCAGAGGTCTAAAAGTAAGAAACCCCCCAAGCTCAGAGAGCACCAAGGACCCCATAATTCAACCCTGATTTACGAATATTCTCTTCTATGGATACGTTCCTGTTCTGAGCTTCTCACTGTCTTAAGAAACTTCCTTATTCAGACTGCTAAAAAACCAGCCTCACATATCACTCTAAGCCTGTGCTTCCCAAACTTGGATAAAATTGGATGAAAGTTGGGTTTTTTTGGTTAATTATACCAACTCAGTCAGAACCTGGACATTTAAAATGAGGACTTTCTGATCAGCGGTTTGGGATAACAAAGGAAATGGTTTGGGAAACCCTGATCCAAGGCAGAAAGTGGCTTGCTCGGTTTTAGCTTAGCCTTAGAGCAAGGGTCTCCAACCTCCAAGCTGGCTGGGGAATTCTCGGAGTTGAAGTTCACAGGTCTTAAAGTGCCAAGTTTGGAGAACCCTGGCTTAGAGTGTTGCAGTTGATAACACAACAATGGCTTCAAGCCATATGAAGTGACTTTGGTGTAAACTAAGCCTTCATGACTTCAACCCAACTCCACATGTCTTAGTAAGCCTTTTGGTCACCACACTATAAAAAAAGATGTTGACATGTTCTAGATGTCTAGAAAAAGTGCAGAGAAGAGCAACCAGGATGATGAGGGGACTGGAGGCTCAAACATACAATGAACGGTTGCAGGAACTGGGCCTGGCTGGTCTAATGAAGAGAAGGACCAGGGGAGACAGGAGAGCCTCTTCCAATATTTGAGGGGCTTTTGCAGAGAGGAGGGGGGTCAAGCTATTCTCCAAAGCACCTGAAGGCCAGACAAGGAAGAATGGATGGAAACTGACCAAGGAGAGATTCAACCTGGAAATAAGGAAGAATTTCCTGACAGTGAGAACAATCAACCCATGGAACAGAAGCTGCCTTCAGAAGTTGTGGGAGCTTCATCACTGGAGGCTTTCATTGGACTGTCATGTGTAGGGTCTCCAGCTTGGGCAGGGATTGGACTAGATGACCTGCAAGGTCCCTTCCAACTCAATCTGTGAAACTCTCTCTCACACTTACCTTCAGCAGTTGGTCCAGGGACCCACCATGATCCGAGGGAGAAGCCCGTGGCAAGTGCTGCTTGATTCCCCCCCGATGCCTTTGGCTTGCTCTTCCATGCGCCTGTCACCCACCACAGCCGCCGCAAGCAGCACGCAACATCAGCCGAAAATGCTGAGACGACTCAACTTTTATAGAGCCCTCAGCGCAGCACATTGTCTACCAGGTGATAAGGCTGACAATGGGGTAGAAGCATCTCGCACCCACCGGTTGCCAAGCATCGACCCCCTCCTGCCGGGGTTTTTGCTGATGCAGGAGGCCCAGTAAATGGAATTGCGGCAAGGGTCAATGGAGCCAGCAAATCCTCTGAGATCACGGATTGCATTGTTTTGGGGCTGCAGGTCCCATCCCTGGGCTGAGAGCTGCTGTTTCCCCAACCCCCACCCCCATGGCTCTAAAATCCAGCCCTGGAAATGCATGTCGTCCTCGTCTTACAACAGTTCATGAAGTGAACATTCAAAGTTACAACGGCAACAAAAAAAGTGACTTACGTCCGTTTTTCACAATTGCAACCTTTGAAGTCACATGATAAAATTTCAGATGTTTAAAGATTACAGATTAACAGAGTTGGAAGGGACCTTGTAGGTCATCTAGTCCAACCACCTGCCTGAGCAGCAGACTCTACATCATTTCTGACAGTCTCTTCTTGAAAGCTTCCAGGGATGAAGCTCCCACAACTTCCGAAGGCAGCTTCTGTTCCATGGGTTGATCGCTCTCACAGTCAGAAAATTCCTCCTTATTTCCAGATTCAATCTCTCCTTGTTCAGTTTCCATCCATTATTCCTTGTCTGGCCTTCAGGTGCCTTGGAGAATAGCTTGACCCCCTTCCTCCTCTCTGTGGCAGCCCCTCAGATATTGGAAGATGCTCTCCTGTCTCCCCTGGTTCTTCTCTTCACTAGACCAGCCATGCCCAGTTCCTGCAACCGTTCTTCGTATGTTTTAGTCCAATCTGACTCGGCACCCGTGTGACTGTACTCTCTTGGTGCAGGAATATTGGAGGAAGGGCGCAAAAATTTAAGGCACCTAATTTAAGGTTGAATCTCTCCTTCAGTTTACATCCATTATTCCTTGTCTGGCCTTCAGGTGCTTTGGAAAATAGCTTGACCCCCCTCTTCTCTGCGGCAGCCCCTCAAATATTGGAAGACTGCTGTCATGTCTCCCCTGGTCCTTCTCTTCAATAGACCAGCCATGCCCAGTTCCTGCAACCGTTCTTCATATGTTTTAGCTTCCAGTCCCTGAATCCTCTTTATTTATTTATTTATTTATTTATTTATTTATTATTCAAATTTCTATACCGCCCTTCTCCTTTCGGACTCAGGGCGGTGAACAGCCAAAATAAAAACATTTATACATAAATACGATTAAAAATAGATTTAAAATAATTAAATTTGGCCCATAGTTTAAAATTTATCAATTTAAAATCCATATCAAAATTTAAAACCAACCATAAAATCATAAAATCAAGAGAGACCGGCTAACTGAAAGAGATGAGTTTTTAGGGCCCGACGAAAGGTCCGGAGGTCAGAGATCACTCGTATCTCTGGGGATAGATTGTTCCAAAGGGTAGGTGCCACCACAGAGAAGGCTCTCCTCCTGGGGGTCGCCAGCCGGCATTGTCTAGCCGACGGCACCCTGAGGAGGCCCTCTCTGTGGGAGCGAACTGGCCGGTGGGAGGCTATTGGTGGCAGAAGGCGGTCCTGTAAGTACCCTGGCCCTAAGCCATGGAGCGCTTTAAAGGTGATCACCAACACCTTGAAGCGCACCCGGAAGTCCACCGGAAGCCAATGCAGCTCGCGCAGGAGAGGAGTCACATGGGAGCGCCCAGTCGCTCCCATAATCCCCCGCGCGGCCGCATTCTGCACCAGTTGGAGCCTCCGGGTGTACCCCAAGGGGAGCCCCATGTAGAGAGCGTTACAATAGTCCAGACGAGAAGTGACGAGTGCTTGAGTGACTGTGCGTAGGGAGTCCCGATCCAGAAAGGGGCGCAACTGGCGTATCAGGCGAACCTGATAAAAAGCCCCCCTGGCCACAGCCGTCATATGCCCTTCTAAGGACAGCCGTGCATCCAGGAGGACGCCCAAGTTGCGGGCCCTTTCCGTGGGGGCCAATGATTCACCCCCAATAACCAGCGATGGCGTCAGCTGGCTATACCGGGACGCCGGCAGCCACAGCCACTCGGTCTTGGAAGGGTTGAGTCGAAGCCTGTTTCTCCCCATCCAGACCCGCACGGCCTCCAGGCACTGGGACATCACTTCCAAGGCATCGTTGGGATGGTCTGGGGTGGAGATGTACAGCTGAGTATCATCAGCGTACTGATGGAACTCCACCCCAAAACCACGGATGATCTCACCCAGCGGCTTCACATAAATGTTGAACAGGAGGGGCGAGAGGACTGACCCTTGTGGCACCCCACAAACAAGGCGCCTCGGGGTCGACCGCTGCCCCCCTGTCAACACGGATTGCGACCGGTCAGAGAGATAGGAGGAGAACCACCGCAAAACGGTGCCCCCCACTCCCAGTCCCTCCAGCCGGCACAACATGATACCATGGTCGATGGTATCAAAAGCCGCTGAGAGGTCTAACAGGACCAGGATAGAGGAGTAACCCCTATCCCGAGCCCTCCAGAGATCATCCACCAATGCGACCAATGCCGTTTCCGTGCTGTACCCAGGTCTGAAACCGGACTGGAGCGGATCCAAATAGACAGCTTCATCCAGGTACTGTGGAAGCTGTCGCGCCACCACACTCTCAACAACCTTCGCAATAAAGCGAAGGTTGGAGACTGGACGATAGTTAGCCAAAACAGCCGGATCCAGGGATGGCTTCTTGAGGAGAGGCCTCACCACCGCCTCTTTCAAGGCGGCCGGCAGGACACCCTCACTCAAAGAAGCGTTGATAATTCCCTGGAGCCAGCCTCGTGTAACCTCCCGGGAAGCCAGCACCAACCAGGAGGGACACGGGTCCAATAAACATGTGGTGGCGTTCAGCCGTCCCAAGATCCTGTCCACGTCCTCGGGAGCCACAGGATCGAACTCCTCCCAGATAACATTCTCAAGGCCTGCCTCAGTCATCTCATCTGAACTAACCCAGTCAGTGGCCAAGTTTTCCCGAATCTGAGTTATTTTATCAACCAGATACTGTACAAAATCCTCAGCTCGGCCCTGCAAGGGGTCTTCCCGCGCTCCCAGATGGAGAAGGGAGCGGGTCACCCTGAACAGGGCGGCTGGGCAGTTATCTGATGACGCGATAAGAGCGGCAAAATAGCTAGATTTCGCCGCTTTTATCGCCACTAGGTAGGTCCTAATATGAGACCTTACCAGTGTCAAGTCGGATTCGGAACGACTGGCCCTCCAACCGCTCTCTAGGCGTCTTTTCCGGCGCTTCATCTCTCTCAGCTCCTCGGAGAACCAAGGAGCTAAGTGAGTTCGGTGCCGGGTCAGAGGCCGCAAAGGCACGACCCGGTCCAAAGCCCCGGCAGCCGCACTATCCCAGGCGGCCACCAGGTCATCAGCCGAGTCGTGAGCTAGAGTTTCAGGAAATGGCCCAAGCTCCATCTGGAACCTATCAGGATCCATCAGGTGCCTGGGGCGGAACCACCTGGTCGGCTCCGCCTCCCTGCGACGGGGTGCGGCGGTCAGAAAGTCAAGTCGAAGGAGCGAGTGGTCAGACCATGACAAGGGTTCAGTATCTATATCCCCTATATCAAGGCCACTCAACCACTGACCAGAGACAAAAACTAAGTCCAGAGTGTGTCCCCCCATGTGAGTAGGGCCGTGAATTACTTGGGTCAGGTCCATGGCCGTCATGGAAGCCATGAACTCCCGAGCTACCTCAGAAGTTTCACCAATGGATGGCAAGTTGAAATCCCCCCTGACCAGAAGTCTGGGGGTATCAGCCGCCACCTCGGCTATAACATTGAGGAGTTCGGGCAGGGTCGTCGCCACGTGGCAGGGAGCCAGGTACGTGATCAACAGACCCATCTGCACCCCACGACCCCACTTCACGAAAAGGGACTCACATCCGGCTATCTGAGGCACAGTGGTCTCCCTCGGATCAAGACCCTCTCTTATAATGACCGCCACCCCCCCGCCCCATAACTTACTCTATTAATGCAGCTTAGGCTTGCATTTGGCTGCCACTGCACACGGCTGGCTCATATTTAGCTGGTTGTCCACTAAGACTCCAAGATCCCTCTCACAGTCACTGCTATGAAGCCTGGTTTCACCCAGTCTGTATGTACACTTTGGGCTTTTCTTACCTAAGTTTGGCAACTTAGGACAGTCGCTGTGTCCCAAGCTCACATGATCCCCTTTTGCAGCCTGCTAAGCCAAAATGGGGGCACAAATGGCTGCAGAAGCTGATGGAGTTGGCAGAAATGGCTAAATTGACTGTTTCGACTAAAGAAAAGAATATAAGTACTTTTGTTGCCACATGAAGAGCGCTCCTGAACTTTGTGCTTGAGGTGGAAAAAAAAAATAAACTTTGATTTTGGGTTTCACCGATTAGATTGATATGTGTTTATAAAAACTGCTAGTTTATATTATTATGGAAAAGCAAATGTTGTGGTTTGATGTTAATGCTTTATTTTACTACAGGCTAACTTTTCCCCAGCCCCTCCTCACTTCTCTTTCCCCTCTCCCCTCCCCCCCCCGCTACTGTCTTCCTATTTACTTATGTATTTTGTACTTTATTCTGTAGCCTAATAAGATGTTTAAACATTTAAGTCAAGGTGGCACAGTGCTTAGAATGCAGCCCTGCAGGCTAACTCACGGTTCACTTGCCTTGACCAGCTCAAGGTTGACTCAGCCTCCCGTCCTTCCCAAGTCGCTAAAATGAGGACCCAGATTGTTGGGGGGGGGATTGCTTCTTTGAATGTTTCTGTTTCTTTGTCTTTTCTTGACTGGGACTGTCATTCATTTTTTCTTCCTATCTTTTCTTTTTATATCTTTTTTCTATAACTTTTTTCATTTTTCTGTAGCTTTTCTTCAATTATATAGGTGTGTGTGTGTGTGTGTGTGTACAGGTTGTCCTCATCCTTACATCCACAACAGAGTCCAAAATTTATGTTGCTGGATGAAAAATTTGTTAACTGAGTTTTGCGCCATTTTACAACTTT